TGGAGCTGGTCTGAAACCTCTTCCCACACTTAAGACACTCATAGATCTGCTCTCCAGCGTGGAACTTCTGGTGCTTGTTGAAGTCAGACTTCCACTTGTAGCTCTTCCCACATTCCCCACACTCATAGGGACGTTGCCCGGTGTGGATCTGCTGGTGCTGGATCAGGTTGCTGCGATGTCTGAAGCGCTTCCCACATTCCCCACACTCAAAGGGCTTTTCCCCTGTGTGGATCTGCTGGTGCCGTATCAGGTTGGAGCTACGGCTGAAGCTCTGCCCACATTCCCCACACTCATAGGGCTTTTCCCCTGTGTGGATCCTCTGGTGCTGTATCAGGTTCGAGCTCTGGCTGAAGCTCTTCCCACATTCCCCACACTCGAAGGGCCTCTCCCCTGTGTGGATCATTTGGTGCCGGATCAGCTGGGAGCTGTACCTGAAGCTCTTCCCACACTCCAAGCACTTGTGGGGCTTCTCCTCCAGCTCTGAGCTCTGCCTCGATCTCCGGCTGCTTTCCCTGCACAGGGAGGGTCTTTCCTCCTCACAGCTTCCTGGCTTGGGTTTGCAGTCCCTCCTCCTGTGGGATCTCTGGGGCTTTTCCTCCTTCTCCTCCATCTGGCCACACCTTGGCAATCACAAATCCTGGTTTGGGGGGGAAAAACAAGGGATGAGTACCTTGGATTATGGATTCCTCCTGCCCAGGTCCTTCTCTGGAAGTCTCCAGGTTTTTTGTGTCCGTAACAAACCAACACTACAAGATTCAGCCCAAAAATACCCCAAACATAAAGACACAGCCCCAAAATACACAAATCATCAAGATTCAGCCAAATCCCCTCAAACGTGTAAAGATTCAGTCCGAAATAAAAACTGCAAAGCACCACATTTAGCTCAATAAACCTGAGAAACAACAAGATTTAGTCCCCATTAAAATCATGGATCCTCCTCCCCTGTCACTTTTTGGATGTCAGGGGGTCAGTGCTCCTGGGGCTTCTGGGGGCTTGGAGATACAGGGAGTGGTGAAACCTTGGAGTGCCTCCTCTTCCTGCTCTCCTCTACCTGCTGGATCCCTGCCCTTCCTCACACTCCTCTTCCTCCTCCTCCTCCTTCCCTTCCTTCTCCTGCATAATGCAACCTCCTTCTCATCCTATGTCCATCGCTCCTCCATTTCAATCCTCAACCTTCCTGCCCTTCTCCTCATTCCCCCAGGCCCAGCACCCACCCCTGGCCCCCTCCTGCCCCCCAAACCCATCCCATCC